AGCTAGCTACTCATTTTCTGTATGCAATCTGTATGTTGAATTTTTTTGTTTATTATGGTGATGGCTAATCAAAAACATCAGAAATCTACTGCCAGTATATTGCAATTGATATGAATAACAAAGATTGCAGAAGCTTGCCTAGAGAAAGGGAAACAGGAGAGAAAATGGTGATGTTGTCAAATTGACTGGGCCTGAAGAATTTCTTCCTGGTATTTAAAGAACTAATCTGAGTAACCTCAGCATTTTTAAGATCATCTTTGTGGTGTCCTTGTGTGTGTCAGAGAATAACATGGTAAAAGCTGATCCTTCTTTTTCTAAGCTCCTTATTTAAGAATGTATGCCTTGATTATGAAACAACTGATAAAAAGGACCTGTGTGTTTACCGTGCTAACTACAGGATTTCACTAGCAAGAGATGAGACTATTCATTGCTTGAAGTTACTTCATTATCTATGTTTAGAAGAACTCTCAAATAAGCTTATTTTTATGATCAGTTTGATAAGCTTTTTTTCTCCATATTAACACATTTATTTCTACTGGTGATCCAGATGCCTTCCTTAAGAACTTAGTTCATAAATAATTTCATTTATCAGCAGTGTAGTTCTCTTTTCACCTAAAATATATTCCTTATGGAAATAAGCACAGCTACCATATTTTACTTCAATCAAAAATACTGTGATGTTGAAACATACTCAAAGGCATCGGCCCCTTTGTCTGTTTTGTTTTCAGAAGAGATTATCAACAATTAAATAAGAAAGGAAAGCCCTTAGAAGTCATGTATCTGGCACCTTCACAGTTTTGTTACTGAAGACCCTGATCTTCAAACTGGAGTCATTCCTGCTGCTCTCTGTGCACAAAATATTTGCCTTAGACGTGACACGAGTGCTCAGTGGTATCTCTGAAACTGAAGCTGCTTGAAGGCTGCAGAAGTTCATGAGGCTGTGGTGGCTGGAAACTTGAAGCCTGATACCACTCAGTGTGATGTTTTTAATGTTAACTATTTCTTACTTAGAACAATTAAAGTGGCCAAGGAATTGCTTACATTTCTGGCTTCCATACCAGAAGACTCACACGTGTGTCCCACATCACATCAAAGACCAGCGCCAGGTTGGGAGGGGTGGGGCTGAGAGCTCCATAGAAAAATGGCAGCCAAAACTGGATTGCCACCAATTCAGAGAGAGCACAGAGAGCAGTCTGGTTTTGATCAACCTCTGTCATGAGAAAACATGGAAGGGGACAGAAATATTAAGTGCATAGTGCTGATATACATGTACAAAGAACTGATTTCTGGAGTACATCACAACTATTACTTACTGAACATCTGTTCATGCCTCTGGGCTTGGCGAAGCATTATACTGTACTACCTTACCACTAAAATGAGCTCCAGAGTCTACACAAAGTACTGCCCTAGAACAAATGAGGAAAGATAAACATTTATCTTAGAACAGACTTATTTAAATTAAATATTTTATCTCAAAATACAAAATTAATAATGTCTGTTAAAGCTGTATGCACTGTACTGTTAAAATTTTAAGCAGTTTTGTGGCCATAGTCTCAAAGAGCATGCACTGAACTGATGGAGTAGCATGAGCCCCTCCTTCTTTATAGAATGGAAAGCAAATTTTTGAAGAACTAAACTTCAGTCTGATAGTAGTAGCTCTTTCTTGCAATATCACTTTAACCAATTCAATTCAAACAACTAGGTCAAACTTGGAAATGGGTTAGGAATTGAAAAAATTTCTGCCTTTATTTTCCTCTTCCACACACAGAATAGACCTGTGAAAGTAAAATCTGCTCTCTGGAAAAGCTGAAGACAGTGGAAACCAGAAACAATTAGTTCTGTACTCTTTATTAACAAAATGCATTTCATGGTTATATTCAATACTTTAAAAGAGATCAATCTAAGAATTATTTTGAATGCCATTTTTCATATTGTACTTTGAATCCAAACAGAGCTCTTGTCAAAGTAATGAAGTGTTAAATTATCAAAAAATGTACTCAGGTGTTTTCAAATAAAATGTAACCATTTACAAGTGATATAATCTTAGCTATGTAAAATGAATTCCCTAATAGTTTTAAGAAGTTAGTGGGACTTTAAAAAGTTAAAGTCCCAGATTTAATGGGGCTATCATTGCAAACAAACATTTAAGTAACTGCTAGGTGCAGAATCAGGCTTAAAATGTAGTTTCTTGTTTATTTAAGTCATTATTAAATAGAAGTTATTTTTGACAGAAACCATTCCTCCTGTAATAAACTTAGGAGAGGCAGTATGGAATGTCTGCTTTGAGATGCAGAAGTTAGATTTCTCTTCTGAGATTTAAGTAACTAAAATTTTGAGGTCTATCACAAGATTAACTAACCTGGCTTTCATTTGCAGTCAGGGAAGACAACATAGGCAGTTGCTGTGAGTTGCTATGTGGAAGTGACAGTTCTTGCTGCCAGAGCATAGGACAACTTCCTTAGGCTTAGGCATCTGGTGTTTCATGGTGTTTTTTTTTTTTTAGTTGACTTTAGGCATCTCAAAATGGAGAAGATGAGAGAGCCACAGTAAAAGCAGTTGACTTTGCTGTTGCAATGTGTTGATGGTGCTACAGTTTTTCTGAGTTCCCCCTAAGAGCATCTTCTTCGTGGCATTTGTTTGTTGTTTGCCTTTTGGGTTTTTACATATCCTTTGTAAGGGCTTGCTCTAAGGCTTCTCTCTTTTTACCCTGGGTGAAGATAATGTTCAAATATTTATCTGTTGTACCCTGTGTCTGCAAGGGACAACATGCTGTGACTTCACTGTAGTCACGGCATTAGTCTAAATAATTACATGAAGAGTTAAGAGATCTGCAGTTAGTTTACGAAGCTGAGCTCTTTTTGAGCCTTAAATTCTCCCTGCTACTGATCCATCTTGGTTTTCCATTGGTTTCCCAATTTGGATGAGTACATGAAGTTACTGTCTTCATAAACTCAGTAAACAATTAACCATTACTGCTACACTTTTGTACACTCATCAGATATTTTTTCTGATCGTTTTATATATTACATTTAACTGCTGCTTTTTTCACAAGTGTTTCAGATCAGCAAGGTTACAGTTACTTCTGATACCATCCACTTGGGTGCCTGAATTCTTACTTTTGGCATTTGAACTTCTCATCTCTTAGGAAAATGAGAAAATACTTGGCAGTAAACATGAGTTCTTTGAAAATCCCTGCACATTTGGTAAACAAAACTTGAATTACTGAAAGTAACTGGGGCTCCCATCCTCAAAATCTTTCAGAGCTTTGCATTATGGCATGAAGCAGCAAGGTGGGTGGTTCCAACAAACATAGGGATTGAAAGCTTGCAGACTGGTGCCTGTATCCAGCTGCAGCCTTGCATATCTCCTAACCTAGGAGGTAATTTTTCATTGCTTTCCAGGATCTACTGTAATGGATCTTGCACTTTTATTTTTCAGATAAATGCAAGTCAAAAAATGTGTAGGTCTTCTGATTTGCCATGTAATAAACTGTGATGTATGCCAGTAGTTTGTACTGATATCCAATTACAATTCTAAAACAATTTCTGTTTAGACATGGTAAATATTTCAATTATTACCAAACTCCAAAAAGAAACAATATTCTACAATATTACCTCCCCCTCTTACCATGAATTTGTCCAAATGATGTGGTTTGTATTTACATTTTACTTTCACCCAGGAGTGCTGATTTTCTTCAAATAGAAATTGCCAACTCCTTATCTAAGAATCTTTCTAAATATTCTCATGATATTAAGATGAATTTCAGTCTGTTAATTAACAAATATAAAAGATACCTTAATTCAGGAAAATAAGTCATTGAGATGTGAAATACTAATAGTCTTGTGTAAAAATTGTTTTACATTATAGTTGAGGTGGCCTTAGAATAGAAGGGATCACATTAAAGAAAAAAGGTAAAAATTAACCCAGAATTAAATAAAAACTTTATTATTCTAAGTTTGCAGGATTTTTTCCACTGCTAATATATTTTGCAGTATACTTTAAAATAAATCTGATTATTTAATAGGAAAAATAGAATGAAAATATCTAGCTTTTGCTTTTTCTTTTTAATAAACACTTAAATGTCCCAATTTTAAATTGTATTTCTTTTTCAGTACTGAGCTTTTATGTGTACACCAACTTAACTGAGTAGGAACGGAGCATATAAGCATACATTTCCTCAGTGCATCCATATCTGTAATGCTTGGCTTCTCCTTAGCTGATCTCAAAAAATACAACAGTTAAGTCTCACTGTCTCTGTGAGAAATATGGATTTGCAGAGGAAAACAGGAATTGAGAGAAAGCAGGCAGGAGATGAAACAGCCCCTTTCAGAACCATAAGTAAAGGACGCCGAGTTACTGGATGGGTCTGTTTTCTCAGCTGTAGAAAGTTCTTTAATGTGCCATGCGCTATCGAAACCACACAAATTCAGGATCACCTCATCATGCATCTCTTAGCGTGTTTTCTCCAGCTGAATGTCACTGGTTTAAATGTGTTTTAAACAAGTGATCAGTGGTACGATTGTGCCTCATGCTGCAACGTCAAAAAGGGGGAACTACCTAATTGTGATGTATTTTGTCTTTTGTCTCTAAGGTGGCAGTGTTTTGGCTCCTTTCCAGTGCGACTTTCTAAATTGCAAATTTGTTGCAAGTTGTCATAAAAGGCATTGCATTTCCTTCTTAACCCATGTCGTAGATAGATTTTTGCATCAGAAACTTCAAGATTATTGTCCACATTCCTATTTTCATATTCTGCACCACTGATGTTAATACAGTTTTTGTAAACGCAGGAACACATTTTAATTTTTTAACTCTTCCAATCTAATCCCTTTGGTGTGCCGGTAGCTGTTTTTTCAATAGATTTGTTCATAGATGTGTTGGTGGTGAAGGACAGACAGAACAATAAGAACGTTAGTATTTATAACTTTCATGAAACTCTAATGAGGTTCACAGTGGGTTTCTTTGAGGTCAGTTTCAGTGGAATAATCGTCATGAAGTCTGTTTACATTTAGAAAGAAAAGAGCTTCCAAATTAAAAGTCCTGAGCCAAGGAAGGCGCTGCATGTACCGTGACAGCCCGTGCCCGCTGGCCCGGAGGAGCTGAAAACCAACCCCCGCTCCGGGCCCGTGCGGTGACAGCCCGCTGGCACATCTCCCCGGTGCCGGTACCGCGCCGCTCCCGGACCTGCCGAGTCCGCTGCTCCCGCCCGCCCCTTCCGCGGGCCCCGTTTGGGAGCGGGAGATCCGGCCGTGCCCGGGGCCCCGGGAGAGCGCAGCGCCCTCCTTTGCGAGCAGCGGCCCGGCGCCGCCCGCGCCATCTTGGGCTCTCGTCGGGGGCAGCGCTCCCCCTCCCTCCGCAAGATGGCGGCGGCGGGGTGAGTGACATGCCCGGTCACGTGGCGCGGATCGCCCCGCGCTCCCCCCGCGCCGCACGGTCTCTATGGCTCAGCCGGACACACGGGCGGCGGCGGCGAGGGACGGGCAGGCGGACGGAGCCTCGGCGCCCGCACGGCGCCTCCTTTGTCTGCGGCCTCGGCAAGGCGAGCGCTTTCCCCTCCCCGGCCCTCCGGCGCACTCGCCAGAGGGCTCGGCTTCCTCCTTCCCGCCGGCAGAGGCGACGGGGGCTCCCCGCTGGGGCGGCCGGGGCGGGGATCCCTCTGCGGCCCGTTCGCTCCGGCCGGCGGCACGGCGCGTCCTGGGGCGAGCGGGGCTGGGTCCGGAACGCCCCGGCCCATCGCCGCCTCTCCGGGGAGCGGGCGGGCAGGCCCGGCGGGGGTGGCGGGAGGTCAGGGCGGGCTGGCGGCCGCCTCTCCGCCCCGCACCCCGTTCATCGGCGGGCTGCCCCGGGCCGGCGGGGGGGTGGGGGTGTCTTTCGGCTGTGTTTCTCTCCCCCTCTTCTGCCCCCCCGGCTCCTCGCCTTTCTTCCTTCCCTCCCTGCTTCCCCTCCCCGCCCCATCTGTTACAGGCTTGCGGAACTGTGGCTGTTTGAAATTAAACGTGATCTTTACTGTACCAGCTGGGGTCTGTAATGTATCTGATAAATGAAGCTCTTCCCGTCGGTTTCAGGTCATGCAAGGAAAAGGGCAAATCTGGGGAGGGAGCTGGGCGGGGTTTCCCTTTGCTTTTCACAGTCAGGCGAGAGGAGTCTGGTTGATGTCTGCAGCAGATAAAGGAGACAGAATCATCAAAAGACCTCCGAACCCTTTTATCTTTCTTCTGTTTTTCCCTCTAATTTCATTTGTCGCTGCTGTGTTGTCTGCCTGCTTGTTTGCCCCTTCAGAAGGGGTCGGGAGCACCAGGGCCCTGGCTGAGGTAGTAGTTTGTGCTGTTGGTCGGGTTGTGACATTGCCCGCTGTGGAGATAACTGCGCAAGCTACTGCCTTGCTAGTGCTGGTGATGATCAGCTGCAGATGAAGACAATGACAATGGGAATCCCCTTTGTATTCCCGGGATTGCATGCTGCTGAGGTGGCAACAATTCCTTCTCCTCCTAGTTCCGCAGGAGGAATCTACCCTTGGCCACCGAGACAAGTAGTGGGGTTCGACCCCAGCAGTGGGATGCTCCTTCTTTCGCAGAGCTGGATGAAAAATCTCTAGTTTCATGCTGTTCGGAGGGTACCTGAATTTGTGCTGAAGAGCAAGTGCCTGCATTTCTTCTCATGCTTAGATCTTATTATTCACCTGGCGTCCTTGAAAGAGGTGGATTTTCTGTTTTGTGAAGATTGATATCAGTGACAGACTTGCATTTTGTGTGTTCTGAATATGCAAAATTTGTATGTGTGCTATTAAGTGCTTTTGTCTGAATGGTAAAAAATCTTGAGTATTTCGCTAACAAAAGCAAAATATGTAATTACCACGTTATATAGATGAGAGAGTCTTTTTACAGTGTAGTTGACCAATTGTACTGCTTGGTGCTCACAATTTTAGGTGAACTGAGATATATTTCCTGTATATTTTAAGTTATTGTGAAAAGCAAAGTCATGAATTTGCTGTTGTGAATTAATTAAAATTGCTGGTATATTTATAGTGATGGCTAAGGGTATCTTTTTGATACAAATTTTAATGTGTTGATCGCTTATTACAATGGCTTAAACTTGTAATATATTAAAACCTTTACAATAAATGTGCATAACTGTCTCCTGTTTTTAAAAACTAATTAATTTTTCAGTCAGAATTTTTGTAAGACCTGACTATGAGTCTGTTAACTTTATAGTGAAAATTAAAGCTGTAGCTAAACACTTGAAATTGATTCATTGCCTTAGTAGTGCTTCTGGTTCATAGTTCTGATGTATTTATAATGAGAAGAAACTTGCAGATATTTAACTCAGCCTGTCTTTTTGAATTGTTTGAACTCATTATGTGTTTAGAAGACATGCAAAGGGTGCTCTTGCACCTCTGCTGAATGTGAAGTGTCTTGCTGAACATAGAGAAAAAGTTTAATCTGATGATACTTCATTTTGAGCCTGTGCACTGCATTATTCTGGTAATTCAACCTTTGTCATGAACTAAACTTTTCAAAAGCTAGGTATTCTCATGCTCACTAATAAACCAACACATTAGGTGTTGTTTCTTAGTAGCTTTTCTCTGAAGTACAGTAGCAGTCCTAGCTTTTCACTGTTACCAAATTTAAAACACCCTAGGGTTTTTTCCTAACTTAGTTGAAGGGTCAGAAAGGATGCTGTAGCTGCCTGCTTTTCACATCCTAACAAACAGCACATGCTAAGTAGAGCTTGTTTGATTGGGAAGTTAGGATGGTATTTTCACCGTCTACCTTTAGGCATCTTAACTGGCTAATCCACCAGTCCCTTTCTCCTCAGTGGAATAGGCTGAGAAATATCCCTGATACAAACCATGCTGGCAAGTGCCTTGGTGTTATTTGATCTGAATTAGTCTTTCACAGAGTTTGTCTCTGTATGTTGATTGTAAAGGGGGTGAAGGTGCTTCAGCTAATCTAAGTGCCTGTAGGTGGGTTGTGTGAAATTGTCCTCCCTGTTGCTTTGCCTTATGCTCAGGCAACTTGGGTAGGACAGATCTTGGCTCCTGTTGTAGCTTTTGGGGTTTGAGGGAAAGAATCAATGAGAGAAAATATGCTTGACCATGCTGCCATTAAGCACTTAGTTGTTTTATCTCTTGTGTAAAGTATCTCCCTTAAGCTTCACTTGCCACCTGAACAGTATTGTTTTGTACTGTGGATGGCTTAAGGACAATGCTAAGAACCTGTACTAAAATGAGACAGTGCTACTGAAATAATGCATGCAGTGGGCTACTGAGATGCTCTGTAATGCATGAGGGGGTTTGTCCCCATGCCACATGTGTCTTGGTAGTGCATTACTCAGTAGGTTTTAGGTAAGTACATGTGAATTGTTTCTTTGAGGAGCTGCATACAAGATGCTTAGCTTTGCTTTAGGGCTATGCATACATTTCTTGGTTTAGTACACTACTCCATGTAGCATTCAAAATACAGAAGTTAATCCAGTCAGATTTCATCCTGAGTTTTGTCCTAGTCCCAGCCACTGTTTAACTGTCTGCCTTCCCTAGTGTACTTGTATGATGAAGGTTGCATCATAAAGCTTTGAGGCAAAAAGATTAATTCTTGGTGGAATGGAGAGGCTTACCTTAGAGATGTTGTAAAAGTCAAGGCTCTGAAAATACTGTGAAAACCCAAAATGGCAGGAGTAGCTCACATCTTGTAAATTTAGTAATTATTGTGATTTGATGAATTAGTTTGGAGAGAAAAATTTCATCATGCCAATTAAAAAGCAGTACTGCTGGTATGTTATTGTCATGGCATCATCTCTTTCTGAGACTTTTTCCCCTTTATTCTTCAGAGATTTCACTCAGTCAAACTTTTTGTGTGAATTTTTTATAGAAACATTAAAATAGGCACATAGCTGAGTTGATGGAATTTCTCTGCAAAGTTATTTAGTTTATAGTGTCCCTATTGTGTATTGTTTGCTGTGCTGGGTAAGAAAGTACTGCAAGAAATGTTCGTCTGTAGCTTTTCTGAGCACTTCTTTTGACTCATGGAATAATAAAAATGCAGAGATTCATGGCATAGTCAATTAAGCTTCGGATGCTCTTATTCCCTTGTTTGATGTCTTTTTGTGCTATTGTTTTACGTATTTTGTTAAGAGCAGTCACAAGCTGCTCACCCCTCCAGCTACTGTCTGTCAATTCTGCTTCTAAAGATGCTGGCATGCATCAACCTAAAATCTTAGATCCAAGATAGTTGCTTCCCTGTAGGGTGCAGTTGCCCTCTCTGTCACCAAGGAGAGTGCTGTGTTCCTATGTTGGCAAAATTGATATTTGAGAACTTGTCTTCACTGGGGGCTGGCTTGGGCCTTTTACTTTATTAGGTCCTGGACTGTGCACATAATAATGACTGAGACCTCCTGCTTTACACTGGGCAGCAGCTTGAGACAGTAGGAGGAAATGCCAGTTTCTGGAGAATTCCACCTCTAAATACATAAGCACTTAAAATGCTTCAGTGCATTAGATAAATTATGTGTGGCTTTTCATTTGATACTTCCTCATAAAAATGAGTACTAAATTAACATAAGGAAATGTTTACTCTAGTAATTACAAATGAAAGTGGACCACATTCTTTGTGTTTAAATAGTTTATGTGCATCTTCCACTATCCTGTGCCTAAGTGTTACTCAGTGAAATCAGAGAAATTACTTGTAGAACATTGCTTCTGGATGAGGTTTTATATCTGTTATATATACACACATACATACATACATACATACATATATATACATACACATGGTATATGCCTCTGGAGAGATTCGATAGCAGAAATGGAAGTGTCACTCAAAAGAAGTGTGAATGTTTGGGAAACTGGTTTTACATAAGCATTACATTTCTCTAGAATGTCTTGAATATTATTCTTCTAATACATTTTGGGTCATTTTTTATGAATATATACATTTATTTTTAAGAAAGTAGTCAATCTTTTCATCTGAGAAGAGTCTTTTAGTCTCTCAGCTACATTCATGTATAGGCCTTGTGAACTTCTGTCCAAAATGAACACATGTCCTGCCACTGAAGGTGTTAAGACATGAGGAGAAGCATAACAGCAAAAGTTACCTGCACTGGGGATCTACTGGAATCCCTGAAATGAAAGGCTTGTATTTAATGGAAAGGGGCAGGAGTGTTTCCTTGCATGTGGAAAGTGCAACACCACAGTGAAAACTGCCATGTTTGCTGTGAGAAGCAAGCCAGAAGATTGAAAGTGACCTTCTCTTTCTTTCCCTTGCCCGAGACTTTACCTGGGCTTAATTTCTCTTACCAAGTTTGGTTATTTCTGCTGTTATTCTGTTTCCTTTGTGCCTAAAGTTCTTGCTCTTGATTTACTAGTTTGTCTAGCCTGCTTGTCTCTGCAAAGACTCCAGCAAAACTGCCTGTATTTTCTCAGGTGATAGCATTTGAAGTTTGCCTGCCTGATGTAGGCTTTTGGTGAAGGTTTGCAGTGGCTACAACAAAGAACTGTGTTGATGCATGAGATTAACTGCTTATCCAGGACTTATTGATGCCAATGTGCCAGTACACACATGGCAAAGAAATCTAGTCTTGCACATTCTTTCATAATGCTGGAAGTCTCTTATTCTAGGCCAGCTAAGAAAATAGCATCCATGACACCTGATTATCAGGTCCCTGGTTATCCTGATCCCTGATCACTTTATCCCTATTTTCTACCTTCTCCACAGTAACTTTGACTCTTTTCAGCCAGTGTAAGAAGGTTGATGTTTTAAAAGAAAATTATGTACTGCTGACTTCACTGAAAATAGGTTTAAACATCTTATTAAATTAGTGTGATATAGCCAAATTTCTCCTTTCACATGAGGAGAATTTGGAGTATGCCTCATCCCATTCTGGAGGATGCTTTGCCATCCATTTCGTGCTTTGCAAGAAGAGAGGATTTTGTCTTAAAATTAACCAGCTTTTTCCCATGAAAATGAGAAGAAGGAATTGGTATGAAAATGGTGGCATTGAATGAGACAAGGTCCTATTTATCCTGTCTTCTCAGGTCCTATTTATCCTGTCTTCTCTGTATACTGGAAGAGAAGAGGGGATAGTTTTGCTGTTAACTTTTGAAGTACCACATTAGGAAGAACTCTCCAAGTGATATCCCCGTGACCTCGTATTACCTGAGGTGTATGTTCCTAGAAAGAACATTACTGTGGTGCCAAGGCTTTTGACCAGAAAGGCAAGAGCATCTGTTGTGTGCCACCTGCAAGGAAAAACAGGAGGTGTGATGGCAAGTTAAAAAAAAAAAAAAAAAAAAGGCAACAGATTTTCAGCTGCTTTGAAATCGACTTTTTTAAAAAAACTGCTTTCTAGTTTATCCAGTAAAAATCAGTGTGGTTTGTGTATGTGGTTTTTGCTGAGGTGTTGTGTTTCAGGCTGAAGCTTAGTTTTCAGTCTAAAAATTTTTCAGTCTAGAAACTTTTCTTGTTCACCCCCAGAGTTTCTGTACCATGCTCTTAAAGGGGAGGTTGGTCCAATTTAGTTTCCAGAATGAAGCTTCTGCAAGATTAAAATAAACCTAAAAATACTAAGTTTTAATTACTACAAGCTTTGCTCATGATAGTGAATTGCATTTCAGTATTTGAAATGTGAAGTGGTGCCTTTTTTCGTTAGGTAGGTGTAAGTGAAAGCTGTATCAGTCTTGTCCAGAAAAATGATACCTGACACATGCATTGTGGTTTTGTACATTGTGAGGAGGTTTAGGTTGGATATCAGTAAAAGATTTGTCACCCAGAGAGTGGCTGGGCACTGGAACAGGCTCCCCAGGGCAATGCTCACAGCCCCAGCCTGACAGAGTTCAAGAAGCATTTGGACAAGGCTCTCAGGCACATGGTGTGATTCTTGGGATGTCCTGTGCAGGGCCAGGAATTGGGCTTAGTGATCCTAATAGGATCCTTCCATCACAGGATATCCTATGATTCTATGAGCCTTGCTGCACCCAGTTCTGGTCAGCTGGTGGAGTGGACAATTACTTTAGAATGGGTAAATCTGATGTCTGAATCTGCTACTGGGATGATGATGCAAAAAACTACTGCATGATGTTTTCTCCACAGTTCTCAGGCTAAGTAGAAAATAAATCACTTCTTTACCT